TAAACTACAAACTAGAGAAAGTTTCATTTGGTTTCATTATTCGATACCAGTATACTAGGTATTTTTCTGAAGGAAACTATTTAACCCGAAGTGTGATTTTGAGTAAGCTGCTCATTTACTCTGGGCCTTATTTTTCCCCACCTGTAAAACCCTAGGGGATTAGATTCTATCTTAAAAAATTGTGATTCTACTAATTTTGCTATTTTTTCAAGTTAGCCACTTTTACACTGAGGTCAAGATTTGTTCGAGAGATGATGGTAAAAGCTTTGCAGTTTTCAGAGGACACACACGGCTCTGAAATCTTTGACTTGCTCTATTGATCATCCCACAGCAGCAATGGAACCTTGACCATTTTCAAACACGCTTCAAGACTAAGTGGCAGTTTCTCAGTAATTAGCACAGCACTCCTGGGTGTGTTAGCACACTGCGCCAACACCACGTCACATTCAGCTAAGCAATGGTATTTACTGAAAGACAGTCACTGTAAGTAGTAAGAATAAATAGTTGATGAAAAAAACGTTTGTCTCACATGAAACATACCACTTTGGAAGATTTTCCTTACCAGAGGACAAATTAATATTCAGTATTATTACCTTAAAACACGTCACACTAATAGTAAAAAAAAAAATTTCAATTGACTCATGTTTTATATAAATGGTCTATACCGTTCACTTATTATCAATTAAAAAGAAAACCTCAGTCAGTTAAAACCTGTTTTCCAAGGAAACAAAAACAAAGTGAAACAAACAAAACACTTAAATAGCTGGCTCATTCTGGTGGCTTTAAATGAAAAATAATAAATAATCATTAACTTGTAGTAAGCATATTTATACTAACAATCTGTTTTAGTATCAGTCACTACTGCTTACTTAAAGATGATCAAGAGTGGAGAAAATATGGCAAGATTCCCAGGAAAGGCAGCTTGCACACGCTCTAAATATAGTCCCAACCTTTCTCACGACATTCATATGCAACTAATGCTCAGTGACTCTCAAGTGAGACTCAAGGCCCAAGGCATTCTGAAACTATTTATACTAACGTTTGAATAAAGCAAGAAAAATAACCTTTCAGCATATAACAATTGTATTTTTAACAACAGGTGCACAGATTTGCTAAGGCTCAGATCAAGTTGATGCCAGTAAAATTAAGTACAGTACATTTGTGATTCTTACTCATCAATTAGCACAGGAACTTCATACAAACGCGTCTCTTAAGACATTTTAAGCAAACTTATTCCATCATTTATATGGCATTAATTCTTTGTAAATGTTCAGGAAAACCCTACTGTCAAAGTTGCATTACAATCAATGTCAGGAAGGCCTGAGCCTGGGCACCTTGTCCACGGACAGGTGGGGAACTTATATTTGGAACTGCTTGCTTTAGTAGTCTGATGTCTTGAAAGGTGAAGAGACTCTGAATTCCCTAAGGGGAATTTAAAAAAACCCTCCAGCTTCTAGCGCTGTTGAGCCCATTTAAAATTCTATGTTGGTGAAATGGAGGAAGGTAAAGACCCTTCTAAAAATCACCAGTCTCTAAGTTTGGCATTCTATGCAGAAACATATAGTTAAAAACCTTAGCAAGCTCTCCTAAAACTGAGCTTTCATGGTAGGTGGGCTCATCCCCTGGCTAGTAAGGCAAGAAGTCTAAGCTATCATCATCTCTCAGTGGACCACTGCAGGAGATTTTACCGTTCTGCAGTTCATTCTCCAAAAAGCAGCTACAGTGACTTTTTACAACACATAAATCAAAGGACATCACTCCCTTGCTTAAAATTCTATAATTTCTCATTGCTGTTATAATAAAATCCAAGCCCCTCCCAGGGCCCAAGGAAGCCCTACTTGACTCCCCAGACCTCAACTTTTACATTCATCCCCCTCGTGTCACCTTCGACATTGGTGTCTGATCCACTGCTGTATTCTCAGTACTTAGCACAGAAGCTGGCATACAGGTGATGCTTCTTAAATATTTACTGAACGAGTGAATGAATGAATGAATGAATGAGGAAATAAGAGAAAACTACCAAAACACTTGGCAGAGTATAGGCTTTGGATGTTACAAAAACATACATACATAGGTAGATACAGATATAGACATGTAAACATATACATAAATCAATAGATTCTTAATAGAAATAGCAAAGATAAAATTAAAATAATTATATTCACAAGACTTGCTGGAAAACTGTGTCATTATATACCTAATATATTCTCATGTAATTTTTGAGTTTTATAGTTGAATTAAGTCACTTAAAAATCATAAGGTCTGGCTTATTTTTCCTCCTTGGAAAACTAGGGCCTGTGTGTCTTACAGGTGTCCTGTATTAGATGCAGTTATCGTGTGAAGAGCCGAGCAGAATGCCTAACACGCGGTAAGAGTGAAAATGTTCACTTACCCTGTACCCTAAAACTCCCTAATGAAAGAGACAAGGAGGAACGTGGGCCTATTTATATTTAACCCTCTGTCATAAATAAATTAAACACTATGTTTTATTTGTTCACATTCTTAGGATTGCTAATTCTGTTTTCTAGAAAATGGTCATTGAAGAAGACACTTGTTTCTGTCCATTTATTGAATGTAAAAAGTTAGGCCAATCTGCTTGGGCTAAGTAAAGGCACTGTCCCATCAACTCTCAGCCCCTCCTTTGGAGAAGTGACTTCAGGCCTGAGGTCTGCCCACAAAGCATGGAAGTTCCTGCTCTGTGCATTGGCATTTCGCAGACCGAAGGAACCTGAAACAGACAAATAGCATGCAGAACACACAAAAATAAAAAAATTTCCTGACATCTCACACTGAGGCAATGGCAGGTGATCCACCAACAGCCAGTGTCTGCCCTGCAGGCAAACGCACTGCTCAGCCTACAGGGCAGTCCCAGGACGCACTGTGGGAGGCTTCCCTCAGGAGGGCAGGGACCCGAGCTTGCGAGCAGGAAAGGGCTGGGAGGGGAGGCGTGCGCACATCACTGCGTATGTGGTGACAGCTCCATGTTGCCCATTGGGCTAAAGAAGAAATCCAGTACCAAGAAGTTCCAAGAGCATAAGCAGGGTGTGGCCAAAGCAACCTGGACACATCTAACAGAAGGAATCATACTCCAATACGGACCAAACTCTTAATAGACTCAACTAGAAAATTTTGAACAATAAGAATCACAATTTGGGGTATAAAGTGAGACTTAAAAATGTAATAGAACAGTGATTCTTAGGCCTCTGCACTTCACTGGTGAAATCTGAATGTGTGTGTGTGTGTGTATGTACATACGTGTACACTTATGCTTACAGAGGGAAGTCTAACAGGTTTTCTAACTTTTTATTTTGCAAATGTGAGGATGTTGGTGGCAGGGGAAGGAGAAATTCCTACTATTTACTACCTTTATTCATAAAACAACAGATATTTTAACATCAAACCAAATAAAAAATAAGAGGAAATTAACAAAACCAAAATTTGGTCCTTTGAGAGGGCCCAACAAAATTAACAAACCTTTAGCAGACTAACCAAAAAAAATTTTTTTAATATAGAGAAGACTCCAATTGCTAAAATCAAGAATTAAAGATCAGGGGGAAGAGGGTAGAGCTCAGGGGTAGAGTGTGCCTAGCATCCACGAGGTCCTGGGTTCAATCCCCAGCATCTCCATTAAATACATAAATAAATATAATTACCTCCCCCTACACCAAAAAAAAATGTTAAAAACAATGAATGAAGATGGGACATTACTCTCTACCCTACAGGGAAAAAAGTATTATAAGGGAATACTATGAACAATGGTACGCTAACAAGATAGGTAACTTAGATGAAATGGAAAAATTCCTAGAAAGACATAAGCAACTGAAACTGGTTCAAGAAGAAGCAGAAAATCTAAATAGTCCTACAGCAAGTAAAGAGACCGAATTAATAATTCTAAAATTCCCCACAAAGGAAAGCCCAGGCCCAGATGACTTCACTGGTGAATTCCACCAAAGATTTAAAGAATTAACATCAATCCTTCAAAAGCTCTCCCTGAAAACAGAGGAGAAAAGGACACTTCCAATATTCATTCTATTAAAAACAAAACAGAAAAGGTGTTTATAACTTTGTGTTAATTATGTTTACACATACACACTCATATTTTTACAAATATTTATATTGCTCTTGTTCTGCTCATTTTTCTATAGACTCATGAAAAATTTCAATATAGATTAAAGAGCTCCAAACAATCACCAACCCCTTAACATAGTAGTAACAGTCAGTGTTATGCTTTTTTTTTAAAGAAAAATATAATATCAGGGTGGCCTAGTCCAAGGAACTGTTCACTGTCATCTGTGGGAGGGTCCTGGGCCCGTGAAGACCCCCCAAGGAGCAGGGGTGTGATTCCCAGCAGACTAAGGCAAGTGCAGAACAGGCCTCTCTCTCAGCCCACCTCATCCTGGAGTAGCAGGAATTCCAGGCAGGCAGTTTCAATTCTGCTGTATATTAGGGGAAGCTCTTTGCCAGACTCCATTTCCCTAACCCACCCGCCCACCTAGAAGGAGGAAATACCAGGTCCCACGTGGGGACACTGCTGAGACTGTGACGCACTAGGGAGCAAGGTCACTGTGCATTAAAATGCGGCTCCCGGGTGCTCGCCCCTCCCACCCCCTGGGGCTGTGTGCTCTCTTTCCTTTGGTCTCTGCTCCACCAACTGGTGGTGAACTCTGGGTCTGGGCGGGGATGGACAACGGTCTCTTAA